GTGTGTGTGTGTGTGTGTGTGTGTGTGTGTGTGTGTGTGTGTGTGTGCGCGCACGCGGGGAGTGGGGGGAGGGTCGCGAACGCGCGCGCACTCGGTTGCTGTGGCCATCCCCTGGCGCCGCCCTGTGCGGCATCCCCATCTTCGCGCTCGCCCACGGAGGTGTGTCCTAGGACCCAGGGGTGGAAGGTGTGCCTGTTTTCCCTGGGCATCGTGAGCTCGTTGGGCTAACCGTGTTGGGTCAGGGCTGACGGGCACGCAGGTGATCCGCGTGTCTGCATGTGCCGTGTGGGCGCTCGTGGACACAGGTTCTTCCCTGCCAGTCGGGGGTAATGTACCCAGATCTTGGTTGGCGAATTGCCCGGGAAGGCCTCTCGTTGTCAGCCTCCTCCTGCCGGTCCAGCCCTCCTTCCCTTCAGCACCCCCTTCCCAGGGAGAAAATTGGGCCCCAGGGAGCACCCTGCTCCCTACATGGCCCTGTCCCGCCTTGGGGACCCGGCAAGGAGCCCCTCACCTTGTCCTCTTGGAAGTTGGGCTGCAGGGCGGCCTGGGCCTGGGTTGGAATCTGCAGGACCCCCAGGACCCCCAGCAGGGCCAGCCCTGTCCACAGAATGTTCAGAGCGGCCATTCTCCCAGAGCCGAGCAGGCAGCGCAGGCAGAGAGGCAGGCAGGAGGCGCGGAGGCCACCGGGGAGACCCCTATTTATGGGCCTGGCTTGGCCTCCACCCAAGACACAAGGACAGCCCACTGGAGGCTCGTGATGCTGGGGGCAGGACAGGGCAGCTGAGCCCAGCGGCAGCTGAGCCCCCCACAGGGCTGCTTATGTAAGAGGCACTGACTAGGACAGGCCTGGGCGCTGCCACAGCAGGGTGAGCGGGGGCGGGCGGCCAGAGGCCCCTGCGTGGCTGGTCCTTTCTCCAGTCCCAGAAAGACCCGCCGCAGCAGCCTGGATGGGGGCAGGGGGCAAGAGCCTCGGTGCCGCCCTGCCTCTGGGGCCTCTGGTCAGTTCCCACCGGGGACTGGGAACCCCCCCGCCCCCAGCCCAAGCCCTACCACTGTTCCGTCTCCAAGCCTGGCGACCCTGGGAGGGGAAGCGAGGCCCCGTTTGCACTGTATGAGTTTGATCCTGAAAGGCCCAGAAGGCCCCGGGGTGACGGGAAACTTGGGCCACGGTAAAGAAGCCAAATCTGCCCCCGAAGCAGAGGCCGAGGGCCGGATGTGCTGGGCACAGCCTCCCCCGACGGCCAGCTGTCGGGGCTCTGGCTGGGGCCCCCTGGGCACCTCTTTCAGCCCGGGGGCCCCTCTGGCCTTGGGCGTAGGCCCATCCCCCACACCGCGCATCCCCGCCTGCACCAGTCCCGCCCACCCTGTGGAGCTCAGCCTGTCCTGTTACCTGGGGTGCTGAGGCTGGTACCTCCCCCAGTGGCAGTGGATTACAGAGAGGGCGGCCTCCCTGCAGAGGCCTCTCTGGGTTGATGGGGTCCCGGGCCCTGTTCACATCTGGCAAGCGTCACCTGTCCCCCTGGTTCTGTCCAAGGCCACCCCAGGCCAGCCAGGGCCTCAGCACAGGACTGAGTCGGCTCAATGGCTCTGAGCAACGGTGAGTGGGGTGAGTGCGGTGGGTGCGAGTATCTGGGGTACGGGCTGGGAGGGATGAAGCTGGGGAAGGAGGTCCCGTGTGTGGTGCAGACACAGAGGGGACGCAGCTGTGGCCGGTGAGGGGACAGGGGCTGGTCACCCCTAGACGCAGGCCCGGCTCCCGGCAGGGTGCGGGCTCCCGTCCCAGTGCCTGGTACCTTCCGCCCGGGAGCTGGATTCTTGGCAGCCCTGGCCTCGGGCTTTGGAATGGCCCCAAGGCGGCCGGAAATGATCGAGGGGGAGGTGTGGGTCAGGTCAACTGCCTGAATGGGACCAGCATGGGCGCTGCCACCCACCTAGTGGGGGCAGGAGGGTGGGCATCAGGCCCACGGGGATCCTGGTGAGGTCAGGGTGCCTGCAGCTTGGCCCTGGCTGGACCCCTCGCTGGGGCTGTGAGGCCAGCGTGTACCGCCCTTTGTCGCCCCTCCCCAGTGGCCCAGGGGTCTGGGAGCGCAGACTGGGTTTCCTGCGGGGGGCACCAGGGAGCTCCCTCAGCGGGGCTGCCTGGGGGAGCCGCTGGGTGGGCAGTGCCGTGCAGAGGGTCTCCTACTTTCTCACGGGTGCTGGGGCTGTGGGAGCCTTTGGTGTACGAGGCAGAGGCCAACGTGAAGCGGGGGGGCAGAGAGAGAGAGGAGGCACCTGTGTCGGGGGGAGTGTGATGGGGGATGGGGGGGGAGGTAAGGAGGGCAACAGTGCAGGGGAGGGGGCAGAGGCAGGCCTGAGACCCCCACCCCTCTGGCCTGGCCTCCCATCAGCTCCCGCCCCTCAGGCACTGTTCATGCTCTAGGCCGTGTGGGGACAGTCCGTCAGAGCAGGCAGGAGTGGGGACGGGTGCCCGGACCTTGCACTGTCCCTGGGCTACCCTGGGAACCCCTTTGCAGCGCTGGGGCCTTCCGTGGGCAGGGCTGGGCTGAGGCTGGGGCCCTGGACTCCTCCCCCACCCCGGGCTCTCCCTCAGGTGCCCCTCCAGCCCCTTACCCAGTCCTCCTGGAACTCGGGCTCCAGGGGACCCTGAGCAAACTGGGGTTGAGTGGGGGCTTGGGCCTGGCCCAGCTGCAGAGGACCCAGGGCACGATTTCGGGGCCCAGGAAGGGGGTTCCTGGGCACTGCTGGGCCCGGCAGGTGGAGGAGGGGTCCCCCTGACAGCCCTATTGATGGGGACACCTGGCATTGGCCCCCCAAGGGCCGGTGATTCACCTTCTGCCAGGTCCAGGTAGGGTTGGGCCATTGCCAGCAACTCCTGCAAGATTTCTGCCCCTTTCTTCCCCTCCCCTGGGGCTGTGCAGGACGGAGGCTGGGCACGGGAGCGAGAGGGGGATCCCACAGGCACCAGGACCCCCTCTGTGCCCTCTGCACCCCTCCGTTCTGCTCTGAGCTTGGCCCTGCGTGTGGTCAGCAGCGCCGGCTGGGCCATCTCCGCCCTCCAGGTGGTGGGTACGTGCTGGACACGGGGGTGGTGAGGCTCCTCCTGGCACCCACTGAGCGCCAAGTTGCCCGGTCCTGGCAGACCAGGGGCTGCTCCCTGGGTCTCGGGGGGACAGGCAGGTGGGGTGTCTGAGAGGGCAGGTGACTGCCCTGAGCCCGGGAGCCAGACCCTGGCCTCTCAGGAGCCCACTCCCAGCCCTGGCACCAGGAGAGACCCCCAGGAGGCTGGCCTGGGGTCCCCGCCTTGGGTTCCTCCCCGTCTCTGGGCCCATCGCAGAAGCTGGCAGCTCTGGGTGCGGCTGGGCTCAGGCCTTCCGTGGGCCTGGGGGCACGTGAGCCGAAGACCTGGCTGCTCAGCGATCAGTGGAGCTGAGGCTGCAGTATCCCTGGAGCCCAAGGCCCAGGCATGAGGGGGGATGGGCACCTGCCCGGGAGGGAAGCTGCTGGGCTACAAGGATGCCGGGAGTTGGCCTGGACCTTGAGAGATCACTGCTGCCAGCCCCCTGCTTCTGGCCCAGCAGGTCAGAGGCAAGCCCGGGCCCAGGCCTAGGCTTGATCTCCTTGGGGGGCAGTGACGGGTCCCAGTCCCCAGGCAGTATCCCCCAGAGATGGTTGGCCCTTCAGAGCTGAGGCTCTCCCAACACCTGGTGGCCTCTCACTGACCGGTGGCTAATGGAGTGTCCGCTGGTCTTGGATTGGGGATTCACAGGGACCTCACGGACCCCACCTACTTGCTGCTTGGCCATCAGTGCCCCCAGCCTGCGGGAAGGGGCTCTGAGGGAGCACTGAGCTGGTGGGCAGCTGAGCTGGACCCCACCTCACCCTTCAGGCCTGTCCCCCGCCCTCCAGAGGTGGCTCACAGCCCCGGAGATCACCCCATCCAGCATGCTCCTCCCATGGGGGGATCCCCAGCCAGTAGATTTTAAGTAGAAGAGGGGCAGCGCCCGGGGTCACCTAGAAGCTTCTAGACAGAAGACTCCAGAAAATCACCGAAGGCCTCGTCCCCTTTCCCTGCCCCCTTTCCCAGCTCCTGGACGGGTCCAGCCTCCAGGGCTGCCCTGGGAAAGACCCGAGGCAGCCCGGTGGAGAGATGGCCAAAGCGGAGAGTGGCCGTGCGGCCTGGTGGGGCACTGGGGCTGGAAGTGGGGGTGGGGCACTGGGGCTGCAGCGTGAGACCACCAGGGCTGGGTACCGACGGGACAGCCAGCTCAGGGCTCCTCCGGGGGCAAGAAGCCCTCCACGCCCCCGCCTGGGCTCCCCAGAGGATAGCTGCTCTGAAGTTTAAGGAGGCACCCCAGACTCGGAGTGTCCCCGAATGAGGCCCTCTCTGAGTTTCTACCCAGACCACAGGGGGCCCACTCTTCCCCCTGTGCTGGCCCGGCCTCTGTCTCCTCGTCCCCTCTCTGCTTTGGGTTGGCCACTGTCGACACCTGGTGATGACCATGTCTCCACCTGGCGTCTTCTTTCCCAGCCCAGGAGGTTGCGCTGCCCCAGGAGCCAAAGCGGGGGGAGGGCCGGGGGGTGGGATGAAGCACTGCTGCCAGACCCCAAGGGGCCCAAGGATGGTCACGGCCAACCCGAGGCTCCTCCTGGCCAGCAGGAGCCCGGGGCCGGCTGGCTGCCTCTGGAGGTAGAGAGGCTGCGGCATTCTGCCTTAGAGAGGGGCCTGGCAGGGCTGTGGGGAGAGCGGCCTGCCCCCCACCACGGCCCGCAGCCCCCAGCCTCCCACGGGTGTGACACTCTGGATTGGGTGACCAGAGCAGGTGGCTTCCAGAAGCATCCAGCCCGGCGGGGGGTGGTTGGAGCTAAAGCATGTCCCCTCACCTGTGGAAGGCTGGGTGCACGGTCTCTGGGTAGGAGGGGCCTGCGGGCACCAGTCTCCTGGGAGCATCGACGGATGGGCCCTCCTGAGCCACTGCGGCCAGGCTGGGCCCCCCCTTCCCCCGAAAGGACCCCAAAGCCAGGCCTGTTTCTTGTGGGGTCTTCCTCATCCAGGGCCTCATTGAAGTCTCCTGATTCTGGAAGTCTTCTCGCCCCTGTGACCTGACCATGCCAGGCTGGCCCAAGGCGCTGCAGGATCTCCTGGTCCCGCCAGGGGAAGCAAGGCCACCCCTGGGGCCTGGGCCTGAGGTCCTTGGACCTGGGCCTAAGTATTCTCCTGCAGTGGGCGCTCCTGCCTTTCACTCAGGGCCCAAGGTGACCCCTGGTGGATGGGAGCCACGGCTCTGATCAAGGCCTGCAGCAGGGGGGCACCTAGCAGGGGTGGTGCTGGGCAGGGCTCATCTTGGCCAGGAGCGTGCCCAGCCCTTGGGGGCGGTTGCCGGGGAGTTAAGTGGGGACAAACGTCAGAAAGGACACTCAGGCTGCCCGGCCTGGGCCTGCGACCCGGGGCTCTGGGTGCCGCCCCTCAGCCCCAGGACGCCACTGTCGTTGCGCAGTCCTGCCGGCCCATCTGGGCACCAAATGTTTATTCCTGGTGCGGGAGGGGTGAGGGGGACAGATGTGGCCTCGGGAGACGAGGCACAGCCAAGGCCTTGACTGGCTGTGAGGATGGGGTCAGCCAAGGGCTAGGCTGGGCTCCAGAGGGGGTGGGTCCAGCATTTCACGAGGGCCCGGCCTGGGCCATCTGAGAGCGGGGAGGCCAGGCAGAAACGGGGCGGGCGCTGGAGAGCGGGAGGCCTGGGGCGCAGGGAGGGAAAGGGGCAGGGCCTCTGGCTGCCTCACCTCTGGTAGGCGCTGCCTGGGCCCCAGGAGGCCCCCAGTGCCCCAGCCTTCCTCACAGCCCCCTCAGGCCTCGGGGGACACTTGCTCTGTGAGGCCGGAGCGCTGGTCGGAGGGGCAGGGCCTGTTGGCACAACCCCTGCCCCCAGCCCAGGCTCCTCAGGCAGCGCCCGCGGGCCCCAGGCTCACTGCAGAATGGGCCGCCGGGCACAGAGGGCGTGCACGTGCCTGTGAGCGTGCGTGCACCCGAGGGCATCCTCCCTGTGCACACGTGTGCGTGTGTGGGTGTGTAAGTGATGTACGCTCATACGTGAGCTCTGCGTGTGTGAAGTTATCACGTGTAAAGGGCCAGAGACAGGAAACACCAGGGACGCTGGGAAACACTCCTGAAGCAAGGGGACAGGGTGGCCCAGGGCAGGGGACCTAGGTGGGGAGGGGGTGGCCCGTGGTGGGGGGACCTAGGTGGGGAGGGGGTGGCCCAGGGCAGGGGGCCTAGGTGGGGAGGGGGTGGCCCGGGGTGGGGGGACCTAGGTGGGGACAGGGTGGCCCAGGACAGGGGGCCTAGGTGGGGAGGGGGTGGCCCGGGGTGGGGGGACCGTGGAGGGGGGAAGGTGGTCGGAGCAGGGGCACCTGGAGGTCTGGGCAGAGGCAAAAGAGGTGCCTGGGGCCGGGGTCCTGGTGGCGGCCTGCTGCCTCCGCTCCGTGCTCCTGACGCAGTTAAGGAAGGCCGGGTCGGGGCCTCCCTCACCCGCTGGGTCTCTTCTGAGGCCCTGAACCTACTTGTGTCCTTGCAGCGTTAACCTTTCATCTCAGGACTGCCCCCTTCCCAGCCCCCCAGCACAAGTCCCATGGGCCTGTCCCCTCCTTCCCTTGGTCACACAGACGGGCCCCTGTGCGTCCTCTCTGCCCTCAGGGTGACCCTCCCCTGCCCTGGCCTCCCCATCTGACAAGCTGTCCCCCCTCAGTCCCCTCCTCCGTGCCCCTCGTCCAGGGCCGCCCTCGCTGTGCCTTTGCGTGGCCGCTGCCCTTGGGACCTTCTGCTGCTCGACGGGTCCTGCCTGGGACCCCCTTCCCGAGCCCCGGCCCCCAGCCTTGCTACCTGGGTCCTGATGACCTGCTTACCAGGTGGGCCTGGGCCAGGACAGGCGTGTCTGAGGTCTAGTGCCCACCCCAGCTGGGCACACAGCCCCTCCTCAGTGGACACTGCCGCCCGGCCCCTGCACCTCAGCCCCTCAGGCTCCCGGGCCCCTTCCCCAGTGTCAGCCCCCGGTGCCCCGCCCCAGCTGCCGCAGACCTCCCAGTGCTGCTTTGGGGCAAAAGGCAGTGTGGTCACGGGAGATGCCCAGCGTCTGGACAAACGCGACAAGTTTCTCCCTCAGCTCAGAATTCAGCTCCTTCCTCGGCCCTGTGACCGAGAAAGGGGTGAGTCCTGGGAGGAGCCTCCCTCCAGACTGCGCCCCTCTGTCCTCGTGGCCCTCGACCTCCGCGTGGAGCGCCAGGGAGAAGTGCTGACAGCTATCTCCACCCCGCGCGTCTCCTCCTGCTGGTGGGGGGCTGCTGAGCACGGCCTCCCTCTGGGTGCCCCCCAGGCCCCCCCTGGTCGCCTTGTGACCTAAGGAGCAGCTCTGGGCCCTTCCTGGGTGGGAGAGCCCCCTTCCAGGCCTCCGAGGGGTCCTGGTCTGGCCGCCCCTGGGGACAGGGCTGTGGACCCCGTGTGCGCGGGCTGGGGCCCCGCGGGGAGTGCTTGGGTGGAGGGAGGAGGGAGGAGGGAGGAGGCCCCCGGTTGGAGGGGCTTTGGGGACGGGGGGCGGGGCAGGTGGGTGAACCGGGTCGGGGAGGCTTGGGTCCTTCCGGAACAGTCCTGTTGCCACACGTCTCCCGTGGCGGCCCATCCCTCAGGGCAGCCTGGCGGGAAGGCGGGCGGATGCAGAAGTCGGGTGTCCTAGATGAGGTCACCAGGTCCCCTGGGCCCGTCTCTCTGCCACCAGCCTGGACCTGGGTACCTTCCTTCTTCCAGCCGAGCTCTGGCTGCACCTACCTGGCTCCTCTCCCCATTGCGGCCCGTGCTGGCCGCCCTCCCTCGGGCTGTTGGCCTGCCCGCCTCCAGGCAGGGGCTCTGGGTGTCCAGCCTCATCCTGAGGAGAGAGAGGTGATGGCAAAGCGATGGTCGTCCTTGAGCTTGAAGATCGCCGAGGCCGTCCTGAATCGGGACTGGTCCTCCCCGAAGGTGCTGCCTGCTGGGCCACGAGGGAACGCTGTCCCCAGAAACTGTGCCGAGCTGGGGCTGAACAGGCCCCGGGAGGCCCGTCCCACACCGCCCGGGCATCCAGGAGCCAGGGGCCCTCTCACCGGGCAGAGGTCCCCGCGCTGGACCTGCCCCGAGGCACGAGCAGGGACCAGAGGCTCCCTTGGGCGTGGCAGGGACAGGATGACCCTGACCTTCCCGAGCCTCAGTTTCTCCATCTGTGCAGAGGCACCGAGATGTTCCCGCCTCACCGGTGCTCCGAGGGCTATGGCCTAAGGCAGGGCTGGAGTCGGTCTGGGCCCGGCTGCACTCGCCCTCTTTCCTCCTGTCCAGGTGAGTCCCGGGCCTTCCGCCCCAGATGCCCGCTCGGCCCACCTTCTCCAGGCTGTGCCAGGGATAGACCTTGTGGCAAGGCCAGTTCGGGCCCCAGGGTGACTGAAGCCCCCGGAGATGTTCGGGGCCCTGGGCCTGGGTCTGCCACGCTCCCAGCAGGATGAGGCCACCCGCAGGGTCCCAGGGGCTCCATTCTGAGCGAGGAGGCGGGAGGCCTGGGCGGCCGCTGGCCTGGCAGATGGTGGAGGCGTGGCGGAGGGGCTGGCCTGGGAGCCCCTGTTAACGGGTTCACCTGCTAGCCGCCACCCCAGGGCAAGCTCACCTTCCTCCAAATCCAGGAAGGGTAAGGTTTTGCCCCTTTGTCTCCTGGGTGCAACTGGGCCAGGGGGAGAGGTGCGAGAGTGAGAGCGTCCAAGGAGGGCTTGCGGTGGGGAGGCTGTGAGGCCCCCCTTGGACGTGGCCCAGCGAAGATCAGACAGTGGGTCCTTTTACCCATCTGGCCCCGTTCTGGGCCCTGGCCCTAGAAGTGGGTGGGACAGGGGCACCTGCTGAGACTGCCAGCCCACGGGGACGTGCCCCAGCCTGGCCTCCTTACACTCACGTGCCCCCGGCCCCCTGTGCCTACTGTCCGAGCAGTCGCCACCCCACACTGGACATCAGGGTCTCCTGGGCCAGGACGCCTGCTGGGAGCGCCCAGCCACGCCTGGGGGGGTCACACAGGCACCTGAGCTGAGGGCCCACAGTGTGGAACCCATCCCCGCCTGCCCGGTCTGGGAGATGGCTGAGTCGTGCTCTGGTCCCGGGGCAGGTGGCTGGGCGGTGGAGAGCGGGGGCAGGGGGGGACAGAGAGTGTCAGTGCCAGGCTGGCCAGCCACTGACCCCGCTCTGCGCCCAGGTCCGGTCTGGGCCAGGGCCGCCTGAGGCCACCACCGTGTTCGGCAGCCCCAGACCCGGGGGAGCAGGCAAACCTCCTCTTTCCCGGACACCGCAAGGTCCGCTGCCCCATGGTGGCTGCCGGCTGGCCACGGTGGCCCCCAACCTTCCACTCCCCCAGTCCTGAACGGGTGCCCCTGGGTGAGGTGGACCCGGCCAGGGGGTGCCCCAGAGAGAACTCGGCCTGGCCACTGACCCTTGGCAGGGCAATTCTTGGGGGCCTGGGGGGATACAGGAGTTTCTGGGTTCAGGGCTTGGTGCCTGGACCCTGGGCGGGGGCGGAGCACACTCTCCCACAGAGCCCCGGCCCGTGATGTGCAGAACTGGCTCTCAGCACGGGACCTGCCCACAGAGGTGGCAGGCAGGTGGGGAGGGTGCAGGCCGGAGGGTCTGGGCACCTCCCTCTGGGCCTGGGGGGCTTCTGGACCCCCTAAGGCCTTGGGAGGGTATTCTCCTCTCTCGGGGCTGAGCAGTCCAGAGGGTCCCCCGGCCCCCACCCGGAGCTCAGCCTGCATTGGCAGAAGCAGAGCTTCTCACGGATCCTGGGTCTTTGCTTACACACCCACTCCCAGGCCTGCTCTCCGGGCACCTGGGATCCTCTCGGGAGATGGTTCCCTGGGACTCCTGGCTGTGTGCGGAGCTGCGGCCCCCCGGCTAGTGGCTGAGGGGCTCGGCCGCGCCCCAGGCAGGCCAGTCGCCTAAGCTAAGGGCATCCGGAGAGCTGGTAGAACCTCATTCCTGGTGTGTCTGGGAGCGTGTCTCTGGGAGAGATTAGCCTGTGATTTGGGGGCCAGAGGAAAGCGGGGCTGGGGGCCCCATCCAGCCCCCGGGAGGCCCAAATAGAAGAAAGAGGTGGGGGGCAAAGTCACTCCGCTGGAGCTGAGCCGTGACCCTCTTCCCCTGCCTGCGGACATCGGCGCTCCTGGCTCCTGCGCTTTTGGACCCAGACCAGGGTCTACACCTCCTCAGGTCTTCGGACTTGGACTGAGTCGCACCCCCCGGTCTCCTGGGGCCCCAGCCTGCAGACGGCGGACCGTGGGGCTTCACAGCCTCATAACCGCGTGAGCCCGTTCCTAGAACAGATTTCCCTCACAGGCATCTATACACATATCCTATTGGTCCCGGTTCTCCGGAGAGCACACAGGGGCTTGTAGACAACCCCGAGGGGTGGCTGATTTCAGACCCTGGGGCTCGGGGGCTCAAGTGGAGGCGGGGCAGAGAGGAGGCTGCTACCCGGAGGCGTGGGCCTCGGGGAGGGGGCAGCCTGGATGCTCTGAAGGGCCGTCCTATCAGCAGACCAAGAATTAGTAACATAATAGAATATCAGGCAAACGTCGAGGTTCGGGAAAGACTAAAAACAGAGGTAGAAACCCGGGATGATTAATTGAGACACAGTAACAAGGCACAAATCAACACGGCAGGAATGAAAAAGAAGTCTACAGACATCCGAAGGATAACGAGAGGAAACCGCCACAAAGAGATGGGGAATTTCCCAGCAAGCCCAGCAAAGTGGATTCAGGAAGAAAAAGTCTGAGCAGAAGCCGGACCCGTCGACAGATCTTCCCACCGCGGCACAACGCGGTCCGTTTTCCTGGGGGTCACCGACTCGCCGTGTCCTGCACGTGTGCAAAGTGTTTGAACGATAAGATTTCTTTACATAAACTGGAAATTTTAGACTAGTTTTAGATTTACAGAAGAGTTGTGAAGGTTCCCATACACCCCCCACCCGGCTGCCCTGTTGTTAGCCTGTCACATTAGCGTGGAACATTTGTCACGGTTAATGAACCAGTGTTGACACGTGATTAACTGAAGTCCATGCTTTATCCCATTTCCTCAGTTTCCCCCAAATATCCTTTCCTGTCCCAGGACCCCATCTGGGAAGAGCACGACAGTCGGTCGTCAAGGCTTCTCAGGCTCTCTGGGCTGTGACAGTTTCCCAAATGCTCCTGGCTTTTGCTGACCTTGACAGTTTGGACGCCTGGGCAGGGATCTCGTAGACCACCCCTCTGCTGGGATTTGGCAGAAATAGCCGGGCGTGACTATGGCTTAGATGAGACGGGAGTTTGTTTCTCTTTGATGTAAAAGCCCAGAGGTGGCGGCTGGGGCCCATGTGGGGCCTCGAGGCTCACTGGCCCTCCTGCCGGTGTCACCACCGTGCATGGCCTCTGCCCCAGTTGCTGGCTCCACCAGCACCAAGGATAGGGGCGAGGGTGCCCCTCTCTCAGAAGGCTTCCGGGAGGATGCAAAGGTCACCACACGTCTGCTGTCTAGACTTAGCCGCGAGGCCAAGATCGGCTCGGGAGGCCGGGAATCGCAGTCTGCGTTCCGCGTGGCCGTGTCACTGGCTCACGCTGAGCCCCCACAGACAAGAAGGGGAGGCAGCTCGCGCCCCTCCCCAAGGACGATGACCACAGGCCCCGCGCCAGGCCCACACCCGCCCCCAGCCGCGTCCCGGCCTCTGGGTCTCAAGGAGCTTCTCAGAGTGCTGAGACCTGAAGCCTGAAGCCAAGGTGTCCCCTCCCCGCAGCTGCCGATGTCCTGGCCGGAGGCTCCGTGTGCAGAAGAGGAGCAGAGGCCGGGCAGCCTCACTGGGAAGTGGCAGCGCTGGCGGAGGCCCTGGTGCACAAGGGACCAAGACGCTCTCGGGTGGGGGAAAGGAAGGGGCTGGCCCAGTAGCCCCTGGTGCTGGAGCCTGGAAGTTGCTCCCTGGCCACCGTCTTCTGTGGCCGACCTCCCCAGTCACCCACAGTCCAGCCACCGCACAGGCCCAGAGGCCAGGACAACCCTCCTCTCCTTCCACGTGAGGTCAGCGTCCTCTGGGCCACGGCTCTGCGGCCCCCAGGTTCCAGGCCCTCCAGGGCACACCCTGACCCCCGCTAGTCTGTGCCGGAGATCCGGGCAGACCCTCCCCGTCCAGCGGCCAGCTGGGTCCCCACACTGGGCAGAGGCGGAGGCAGGCCACTGCGGAGCGGGGGTCAGCAAGGGCCTGTTTCAGAGGCTCACAGATGAGATACCTGGGGGGACCCTGGGTTAGAGAAGGACAGTCAGAAGATCTCGAGGAGAGGTGGAGTGGGGGTGTGGGGTGCTGGGGCTCCCTTGACCTGTGGCAGGAGCAGAAGGGAGCCAGTGGCAGGTGGGGAAGGAGCCAGTGGAGTCCCAGGGGTGGTTGGAAACCCAGGCCTGGAGTCAGGACAGGGCTGCAGTCACAGGTGGTGACAGAATAGGGGGAGGGAGGGGCGGCTGGAGGCCTGTGCCTGGAGGCCCTGACAGAGGAACCAGATTCGTTAGAGGCTGCAGAGAGGCGAGGCCGGAGGGGAACCAGGAAGGCCGTGGGGTGAGGCCTGGGGGAGGAGACCGGCCACCGGGATCAGAGGTCAAGGGAGGCCACGGAGGTTACGGCCCAGAACGGGGCTTGTGGGCCAGCGGGACCCAGGCTCTGCCCACTCCTGGAGAGAGGCGCGTCCTTCCCCGTGTGAGAACGCTGGGCGCCGCCCCCCAGAGCCACGGGGACAGTTGTGCGTGGGACTTTGCCTGGCCATGGGGGATGGAGGCTGAGAGGCTTGCTCGGCCCTAATGGACGCTGGACTAGAAGACGGGATCGGGACAGGTCGGGAGGGGAGGGGCCGAGAGGTGGGCGAAGCAGGGGCCTCACTGCCCAGGCTGGGTTCCCATGGCCGAGACCTGGGCTCAGGGCTCCGTCCAGCTCGGCCACAGCTGGCCCCTCAGCCCCGAGGTCCTCTGGGCCTCAGGCGCTTGGCGGGGCCGCGGACCAGGGTCGCCGGCTAGAAGGATTAGGGAAGAGGTGGCGTGGGCACCTGCAAGCGACGGGGCTGCAGGCGGCCGTCCTACTGACGCCGGTCCGACGCGGCGTGGTGGAGGGCGCGGCTGGCTGCCCTGCGTGGCGTGTGGAGGGCGGGGCTGGCTGCCCTGCGTGGCGTGTGGAGGGCGGGGCTGGCTGCCCTGCGTGGCGTGTGGAGGGCGGGGCTGGCTGCCCTGCGTGGCGTAGGGGGGCGGGGCTGGCTGCCCTGCGTGGCGTAGGGGGGCGGGGCTGGTTGCCCTGCTGTCCGGCAGACGATGAAGTTGGGGTCTGCACGGCGGCCCCAGCACCTCCCCGCAGGCCCGGGCCTGAGCTCCCCGTGCCCTGCGGTGGGTCTGACCTCACCCAGGGCTCTGAAGACCCAGATCCAGGCCTGTAACAAGCGTCCAGAGCCAGACTCGGAGAAGGACGGGGCTGGCGGGGGTCTAGGGACCCCGGGCTCCCGGCAGGGCTGGGGCGGGGGCACTGACTGTCTCTACAGCCTCAGGGTGAGCACTGCTCGGAGGAGCCGGCGTGGCCAAGGTCGCTGTCAGCGGACCCAGGGCGGCCTCCCCAGCCCACGGCTCCTGCCAAGCTCGGCAGCGCAGGCCCAGCCAGGGCCCCGCTGCTGGGGAGGGGCTGCTGGCCTGGGCTCCCTGGGGCGGCGTTGGGGGCTCTGCCTACAGCCCCTGTGGCTCATCCTTGGCCCGGCTGGCAGCCCTCACGGGAAGCGCCGGGGAAGGCCACCATGTCCCCTAGCACTACGAGCTGCACGCAGACGCGGCTTCCAAATCACAGCGCCCTGTGCGGGCGACCACAGCACCTCTCTGAGCCCGGGCGGAGCGGGACCCTCATCTCTATCCAGACGGGGGCTCGGGGGCTGGTCCTTCCTCCTTTCCTCCTGGGCTCAGAACCGAGTCCATGTCAGTCCCCGTCCCCTACCTAGGTGTGGCCCGTGAGTCCCCTTCCCGGGG